TGCCAAGAAATCCCACCATAATGTATTTTCGAATTAACGTCTGGCTCACAGTTATGAGCTGATACTGTGAGTGGCATTGCCACGAAAGCGGGTGTTGCTCTGTCGAGCTGCAGCTGTATGAACACCTGAGAGAAATCCGCACATCTCCCATTGCTTCCTCCGTGCACGTTCCAAGTCCTGCCCATTCTCATCTGGATGGATGTCCTGCGGCGGTGACGTGGTCGAGTAATAGCGTGTTTGTCGCTCCTTGCAGAGCTTCACGGCTCAAATCCAGTGGCCGTCCTGGTTCATACTGCGTGTGTATGAATCTTATAAATCGGCGCAGCGTTCTTGATAGTGGACCTTAATGATCCCGTGACGTTATTTGAAAAAGAATAGACCACGTGTGCCAGCATCATAGCTTGGATTATCCAGCCTGTTTTTTTTTTTACGCAAACATTTATTTCGATTGGGTAAAAAACTAGAGCAACATCGCTTAATAGCGGAAAAAAATATTCATCCGTGAAACAGAGCATCTTCACAACAGCCTTGCAGTGGGCGTAAGAATGGTGCTAATACCAAATGTAGAAATTATTTTAAGGTGCGCCAGGGAGTGATGGCGGAACACCACACGGTAGCACGCGCACAGCGGGTGGTGCATACGGCCACGTGACCCACACCCTCTGTGCGCTGCTCTCCGCTCGCTCAGTCCCCTAATGATGCGACGTTACCACCGTTTGCCACGGCTGTGGGAGCTGCCCTGCTGTGCCATCGCTGAGGCCGCTAGGGAGGAGGAGGAGAACGTGAGCAGTAAACACAGCCACCTGGAAAGCATTGCATGACAATGCTTTACAATGCAAAGCATTGCTGCAATGAAATGCTTTGCAGCCGTGCTATCTCCGCGGCCAATTGCAAACGGGTTTGTCGTCATCGCCTCGCCCGCGAGGGGAATAGCCTTGCCGACTGCTGTGTTCTCTGCAAAGAACAGGATATTTCTATTTGGCACAGATATGATATTAACATCTGAGATGCACTTATTGTACCATGTTGTCGACTTCTTAGTGAGAATGATCTGTTACTATCGGCCCACTATGATGACACAAGACGGTGTTCCTACTTAGCGACGTTGAGATTGTGTTTGGTAAAATTAATATTATTATTTTACTCAGCTTACGTGTGCAATGCAAACAAGGTTATCAATGGAACACATTTGTGACATATTGTGTAATGTCAGGCAAGAGACTTTAGGCTGGCACACATGATAATGCACCCTCACTGGCTTTTAAATCGTGAATCCTGCCATGCTGTTTGGTAAGGGGGGGGGGTACATTTTGTTATTTCACATTTATGATAGTAAAAGTAAATTTATACGTGAATGAATATTTTCCCGATTTGTAATATGCACAGTATGCACTCACTTTTTAAGAGAGAGAGAATGACTTAGAGGCGTGAGGAATCACAGACAAGTGGGAAGGTCGCAAGGTGGTGAGCTGGCATCAACAATTGCTCAAGCCCTGCATTCCTCTATATATGAATATGTTATGAGCCAATTAATGAGTATTTATTAATGGGAGGAAACTGGAGCACGCGGAGAAAACCTCCACGTGCAACGGGGGAACCACTGTCCGATACAGATGGAAACATGGAGTCCACGTTTGTTGTACCACTTCATTGTCACATTACGTACTCAAACTAAGCTATACGTTTTCCCAATTATTTGATGATTTCGCGTTGACAGTGGTGTAGAAGCACACGAATCAGAATGTAACAAATAGGCTCAACACATTTTAGGCAATGGATGTTTTTCACAGCATGTGCTGTTATGTTCTGTGAAAAAGGTCTTTGCCCAATACATTACCTCTTTTATATATATTTTGAAGGCATTGTTATTGACACGTGTGTTGAGTTTTGTTTTGTTATATTCGGGAGGCTTTCATAAGGCACTTTAAACAATAAAAGTACATAATGCTGCAGTAACTTAAAAAAAATCTGTTTTAAATAAGAGAGAAATTTTATGAAGTGCCAAATATGAGTGTGAAATTAATTTAATACGTGTGTCAATTATATGTACGTGTTTTAATTTGTTCTGCATTTCTTTTAGTATTTGTTTAATATACACTAGCTGCAGAATTTTATATTTGAATATAGTTAACATATACAATAGTGGTAATGAACATCTCAAGTGCCATTCACAAACTAATCCCTTATAATAAATCTGTCACAATTACGTGTCTTGAAGCTATGTTTCTAATCCAGTGCAAGCATGGATTGCAGGCGTTGATAATTCAAAGTTTTATACACAAGAATTACAACTGGAGCAAATACAGTCATTAATACCGACCCTATTTATATATTATCCCTCGTATCATATAATTTCCTTGGGGACATGGCCAAAGTGACCGTGTTGAATATGGGGCCACTTTGAATTCTGTGTGCACGCAGCCTCAGCAACATTGAGACCCATTTACAGACACACCAGATGGCAGGCACAGCTGATGGCACTGTGCAAATAAGCAGTAAGGGCATCACAGCAGATTAAAGGAAATGTTTCTCATGTTGCAAAATTATAACCTGACAACAGTCGTCGAGTGATGGTGCAGTGGGTAGTAAGCACACCGCAAGGTTCACCTGGTGACCTGAGTTCGGTTCCCGGCCAGCATCGTCAAACAACCATGTGGACCAGCATGGTGAAGTATGGGGAAACAACATCAATTACAGACTCGGTGTAGGGAGGCTTGCAATCAACAGTGGATTGACAAATGGGCTATACAATTTTAGCCATTAATATAACTACGGCTAGAGGCTTTTAAACTTTCATTTTGTTTTGACTTAAAGCTTTCGTGACTGCAGGAATTCATTTTGAATTTTGTTATCTGGATCACGGTTCCACTTCATTATTAAATATATATAGAGGTGTGTGTTTGTCTTTTACTATAAAATGATATAATACATACATTTAGAGAATACAGTGCAATACAATTTGCACGGAAATATGCATTGTATTGTATGGAGTTCGTTTAATAATGTAATTGACGTTTGAAAAATAATGTAATTTACCCAAAAATGAGTAAACTATTGTGTATGGATTAAAATAACCTTCATTGTGAAAACCTCACATTGTATTTTGCTGCTAATGGATAATAAATCCTGAAAACAAAATTACCAGGCAAACTTACTGATGCGATGAGAGTGTATACATGTGACAAACAAGCACTGCCAATTCTTGTTTTATTCTTATCTAAGGGTGCATACATAAATACCATGTCCCAACAGTGAGCTTCTCGTAAATACATCCTCTTCTGTGCGCTGGGTTCTGTTGAATTATTTTATGCAGTCACAGCTGAAGTGGTGCATTTACTCCGAAATCCAAGCCAACATCATTTCGCTTAAAATTTGGCAAGATGTTCTCCGCAAACATATATGAGCCATCAAAGCAAGCATACGGGAGACAAACGTTTATGAGAGCCAGCTGCAATGCGTAGTATCGTTTTTTCATTAGTTCAGAGCAGAGCACAGAGAATCCTTAAACAAGGCATATTGATCATTGAAGGTGGTGTGATTGGTAACAATAACTGGAATCATGTTCAAGGCTCACGATCTCTGTTTTGGTGGATCTTCGTAAATTGCTATAATTTTAATTTCCATTTGGTATGGCTTTTTAAACATGCAACTTCTACACGGGCGTCTGACAAAATTGCACACAAGCAGTGTCATTATATTGAGCATTGATGCAGATGCTAATGCTCATGCTCTCAACTCGTACGGGTATAGTTGTTCACCATCTAGAAATATGCATAGGGCTGTTCAATGTTACACTGCATTGCCAATATTTAAGAGGTTCTACATGGATAGGCGTAACAATCTCGATCTTGAAATCTAGTATAGTGGAAATATTGTAATTATATAAGAAGAAGAAGCATTGTGCTTCATAACTATATACACGACTATGAAAGGTAAATGTTACCTGGAAAACGTGATGTGAATATCCCACTGTACATTCAATAAATATGAGTATAAACATATTATAAACATATTCTTCTAAATTTGAGCCTTAGTCCTTGGAATGTGGCATGTAAATTGAACAAATTATTTTCAATAAATATATATAATCTTATTCCTGCCATAGCATCTGTCACATAATCTCACTACTTTATTTAGTTAGCTGTTTATCAAGCTGTATATACACAACAATGAAATGGCCTCGCCATGAAGTGACACTGGGCCATGTGTTGGCAATGACGTTCATAACGGCAATGGCTTTAAAATACCAACCGTCGAAAATTAAAGTCAACGACTTTGAAAAAAATGTATACAGATTTTTCAGTACAAATGAAAGGTTGGTTACTTTAGCAATAATTTTGTCACATCTGAAATGACAAAGTTAAAATGCATTAGTATTATTTTTACCACTGTCCTAACCATATCAATGTAAATTATTTCAAATATAAAATCCCGGTATAAATTGCAGCATAGCAATATTAATACACACACGTATAGATATGCATACAGCATTCATATTGGCTGGTGCCGTGGCAGAGTGCCCAACACTGAACTCACAGAAGTTCAAAAGACTCCCATCAGTGGACACAAGCCATCATTCCTCTGGGGTCACCACTTTCTTGAACATCAAGTCTGATCGTTATTATTTGGGGAAACCGGTCCCTGGCATAGTAACATGGAATTTTAGCTCGTGACTTATCATTGTTATTGGCGCCGGGAACCACCCATGGGTATTCAATTGTACTTACGCATTAATGATAATATTGAAAGTTTCAAGATGCAGCTGTGGCACAGTGGTTATCATGCTGAGTAACAATTGCCAGCAACGGCTAACATCAGTGGTGAGTGATATCTAAACCGGTTCTAGGTCCACATTTCACCAACCCACATTGACCAGCATCGAGAAGTATGGTCAAAAAACCCCCCATGGACTGTGAATTGTGATTCAATTGTATTATGACGTTTCACTTTTTGTTGACGCAATGCCTGTTTTTTGACCCGTCGATGTTTTTCTGTTGCAGGAACATGGCAAAATCGGAGTCAAATTTAATGTCGGCACAGATGACATTGCCGTCGAAGAGGCAAATTCGTTGGTGAATGACGGCAAGTATCACGTGGTGCGGTTCTCACGGAGCGGTGGAAATGCCACGCTACAGCTCGACAACCTCCCAGTGAATGAGCGCTTCCCTTCAGGTGAGTGGCCGCCCTCTCGCCCTGAGTGCCAGGGTAGGATGTAGTCGATTGCCCACGTTTTTGAACCGCTGAGTATTTCGTATTGACAACTGTGATGTGCGCTGTGTGTGACATGAGGAAATGAAGATCTGTATGTTGTTCTGTTGATTGTTTTTCTTTCGATGTTGGTCTTTTTGTTAATATTGATGTCCTCTTAAGAAAATATTGATACTCAGTTGACACTGTTGTAAATAACAAAAACTCAACATATCCATAACACTTCCCTAAAGAGGACAACATATTTATAATCGGCCACGATTTGGGCAATGTCCCTTCTTCAAAGCAATGGCTATGCTTTTGCCATTAATAAGAGCAATTGCCTGAACTGTCAACAATCAAACAGTTATTTCTTTCATGATGTGTGAGCACGTAAGATATGAGGATAATTTTTGTCTTTCCAAGTAAGCAGTCGTAGTTATTATACGAATAATTATAATTATAAATAAAGAGATGACGTATATAATTGGCGAGCAGTGGCGTAGCACTTATTGCACTGTGCTAATAACCGAGCCACCAGAGTTCAATTCCCAGCCATGGGCCCTCACCATCCCTTCACCAACCTGCACTAAACAGTGTGCCAACGTATCACCAAACAACCCCCATAACCAACACAGCACGAGGCCGTCATCCAGCAGTGGAAAGACAAAGGCCTGTACATTATGCTTTAAATTATTACTTATACTGTACGAATGTCGCAAATACATTTGTAAATGTTTGCGTGAATGTCATTTTTCATTATTTTTGAATAATTGCTTTTCTGCCTTACAAATTAAAATTGTTCATTTTGTATTTCAATACTCATTTGTAGAAATAAACATTGCAAGGGGCAATTTAGATAATCAACTTTAACAGGTGGATTGGGTGGAAAATGTTTGCACAAAGTTTCAGTGCAAAACATATTTCTTTAATTGGCATTATTTCTTACATTTTCATTTGTATGAGGTCGCTGTAAAATCTGAAAGGATGACCAACATTCATTTGTTATACTCAATCTAAGTGACCATTTTACTCGGAATGAGTAACCAATTTCACACCTGTTTATGTCTAAGCATTTGTCACCCACAATAAAATGTTCTGCCTTTGAAATTAACATAGAAATTCATCCTGGTCTTCCAAAGTTAATGGGTTAAATAATACTTTGTTTTCAAAGGGAAATTCAATTGCATGAATACAAATTAATGTCACCTTTGCTTTTATTCCGTGCTATGAACAATAAAGTAGCAGTCGACCTTTAAATGGGTTTACACGTTGATTCTAAGGCCGTCACTGCTTTTGTAAATGGACATGAGCTGAAGAGATTTACAATTTTTATTATCCACATACATGATGGAATATTCGTTTAGTCAAGGATAATCAAGGAAAGTGAGAGGTCTGCCTTGGGCAACCTTGTGTTAAATTCATCTTAGGAAATTGGGTACAAGTCACGAATGTTACTCATTTTATGCTCTCATTTTTTTAATGCATCCCCATCTAGGACACACTGGTATGCTGATGTGGTGTAATGGTTCGTCACCCATTCGATTTGATCTCCCAGCGTGGCAGTTTAAAAATGTGCGAGTTACCTGAATCCCTCCAGCATCACCTTTGTCCACCCTGCAGTATAAATGGATTCACCACATGTAGTCGATCAGCAGGTCGTGTGTGATGGCATAAAGTGTACATACTCCCAGCTCTTCCTAGATGTCTGTCCAGCATGGAAGAGTAGGCCAAATACCTTCTAGAGAGGCTCTCTTGAGCTTCCTGTAGTGGAGGCCCGTCTTTAGCAGCTGTGTCTTGACCAAGTAGTTTCAGGGCTGCACCTTTATCTATCACACAAGCATAAAGCAGAACGCCTTGAAACAACAGATATGTAATATTTAACGTGAGCCATACACGTTAATCATTCAGGGCAGCACTGTTGTTGTGATGGCAGAGATGTTCGAACAGAATAAAAAAAGCGAGTCACATAAGGCCTCGTCATCCTGCCTTCCTCCCTTATACTGCAGGAAAGAAAGGCACCACATGCAGGCCCCCCCATGCTGGGGAGAGATGTAATTTTGTCCTTGCCCTCAGGATAGGCACAAATTATGTACTATTCCATATAATTATTATAAATCTAATTTTCGCCCACAAAATGCTTCATTTGAAATGGCATCACAGGCTATATTGCAGGTGTTAGCAATGATAATTTAGGAAATGATTCAGCGTTCTCTAATATGCAGGTGGGTACAAGGTAATGCTTTGCTTCATACACATATATTTTACTGGCAATTCAGGAGTGGGCACTTTCAAAATAAAGAGTGTTTAGCAAGTTTATGCATTGCTATAAGATTGCTTTGCAGAATTAATTAGTCGCACTTTCGCTCAAAACTTCATAAATCACAGAAAAATCCAATGGCAAACTTGTTTCTGTTTTTGTTGCTATAATGAATTCCATATAACCTGCGACCCTCCTTTGTCACTTAATCGGGGCTTCTCTGATCGTTCATATTTTTTCCCCTGGTCATTTTGAAATTGTAATTAAAACAGCTCACGGTGCACGTGTACATTTGTATATTATATTACGTAAAAAGGGCTAAAGGAAATATATTCTTACTCGAGATTATTTATGCTTGGCAATAATTATTACATTACAAGAAATGCTTATTGAAGATTCCAGGTTTGCAATTTATTTGGCCTTTTAGTGAAACAGAAAAGGTGACTGAGCATGATAGCATATTTTTATTTTAAAAAATGTATTATAGCTGTGACCATATGGCTGACCTTAATTAAGTCTCTTCTAAAAAATGTCATCCTAAAAGCTAAATTTAAAGCTCATCCATTGCCAAACACCTAAACTTAGTGGGTGAATGACACCCAACTTGTAAAAAAGGACCATGAATATATTTTTTCAGCACCAGTCCATGAACATTCATGTAATTTATGTTTGGCAGATCTTATTACTTGATTTTATAACCACAGGGCCAAGTGAAAAAAACCGAACCACCTTGTCATACCCTTTCAGCATTTGGGAAATGTATAGACCCCTCTCTGATTGATGCCTTTTCAGTGTATTTCAAGCTACATGTGAGTCTTGATTCATGGCATCTGAATAGTTAAAACAATTGTATCATGACTTAATGTGATAGCTATATTATGCAGTTGGAGTAATTGAGAAAATTACGTGACGTAAAAGTACCCAATGAAAATTATACTTTCTATAGATTTGTGTGGCTCTGATAACGTTTTGTCTTCGGTACACATTAGTATTACCTAATTAGAACAAAGTACTTTTGAACATCGCTAAAAAAAAATTACTTCTTAAATACAAAATACAATAGCATTTTCATTTTTTCATTTAATAATGGAAGACTTCCTCATTTGGAAGCTTGGTTAGTTATTTTATTGCGTATAAGTTTGGGCACAGTGCTTGTCTCAACACTGCAATCATGCACAAAGGAAGGCAATCGCATATATAGTGCTAATCAGTGTACCACTTTTGGTGCTAGAGTCAAATGAGGAATGATGGACAAACAGATGTCTGTTCAACACGTAGGCTTTCGCGACCAGGGTCATCTACAATACAGGTTTTTTTTTAGTTAGATCGCGTAAATATAGGGCACTTCAAAAAAAGAATGAACACTTACATATGGAACTATCGTTTTTAATGGATAAAGAACGGATAGTACACTGTAACATGATAACAAATGTAACGTTAATAGCTTCAAAAGTCAGTCTCCACTTATTCGCCATCATTGTCAACACGTGTCTGGAATCTTCTCCAGGTGGTCTCCAGAGCCCGGAGGCTCATTTCTTGTGGTATTGTTGCGAATTCTCAGAAGTGGTTAACATTTTTTCGAAGCACCCTGTATATAAAAGTGTCGTTAAACCCACCACCACCCAACACGGAACACGCCTAAGTGTAGTGTTGAACTCGGAAGCACAAACTTGACTTGGGGGCAACACGTTTATTACACAGCCCCAACAGGGCTAACTACATACACGTACACACTCTAGACCATAACAGGGTAACAACACAATTTTAACAGGCTAACTACATAACCGGGTCAGTCAGTAACATTCCGATTGACCCACGATGCCGAGCGAAGATCGAAGATCAGAGAGACGGTAGCACCGAGGGTTGATTCCAGAGAACAGCCAAGAACGCTCTCGGGACCGCCCCTTTATGCTCCTGGGCGTGGCCTCGCTCCACCTTCAGCCACGCCCCTTTCGAGACCTTTCCCGAAGGATCTTGACCGAGCATCACGTGTCCCTCAAGTCCCCCTCGAGCCCCCCTCGGGCCCCCATCACTACCCCGTCCCGGTCACGTGCCCTCTCGGCTTCACCCAGACTACCACGTCCTGACTTGCCCTCTCTCAGGCCGTCACCAGGACTATGGCCCCTAGGGCTCGTTCGCATGCCGTACTCACTCTGGTCCCAGAGAGAGGCTCCAGATGCACAGTCGCACTCTGATGACAGTGCCTGGCTGCGAACACCAAAGTGACACCCTTAACGTCACTACACAAGTCCAGCACACCGGTGTGTTGGAGAGCAAGGCCACAACATTTACAACGCCAGTAATTGCAACTAGCTTCATCAGGCTGTGTGCTCTACTATTAACGATTTGGCACGTTCTGTTTGCGTGACAAACCTTACTAATTGGCTGTGTCAGGTGTTGGCGGGTTTAACGACACTTTTATATATTTACGCGATCTAACCCAAAAAAAAACTGCATTATAGACAGATGTCTATATCAGTGGAAGAATGATTAATAGTGAGTTTAAACTATTGCAAATCAGCCAGCCATCATTAGGTATTTCTATTAAGCAATAGATACCAACCATTCACCTCATTAAACATCTTCACCTGCTCTTAAGTTCTTCACCTGCTCTCAAAAAAGCATAATAATAATGAATGTTGGCTCAGCATACAGCCTTGTACTAACATTGTTTCTGCAATTCTAAGCTAAATTGCCAACATCTTTCGATAAATCGATGGTAGGA